CAGTTCCCAACACCCTGGAGAGAAACCAGGGAAAACTCATTCCCTGTTCATGCCTGATAAAAAAAAATTGGCCTCTTGTGACAGAGCCTGTTTGCTATGTGATAGCACTGAAAGACTCCCTTCAAGGTGGGACACTTGTTCTTTGTTTACACGAATATTGTCCCTGCCCTACAGCCTGAACTGTTTGGAAACTATAAACCAATCCTAAATTAAAACATAGCATTGATCTTAAAAGTGATAGGGAATTAAAAAAAAAATCAAGGGCCTGAGTGGACCCAAGTTATCCATCACAGGACTTAATAGAGTTGTGCAGAATTTAATGTGTCCAGTGTTGGGGTATAGTCTGGGTTAGACACTCACCTTGCCACTGAACAGTTCTGATTGTGCAATGTGTGTGTTTCACATCTGAAATGTCTTATTTCATCAAATGGGGATTTTTTTTTCCATTTAAGCAACCCTGGGCTGTTGGTTTTATTTTTAATTTCTATTCTTTTAAACCGCTACATCATTGTAGGGTTTCTGAAATTTGTTGATATTTTGGTTTGTGTGGTTCATTTGTGTTTTTTTTTCCTTAACTCTTAAAAGTACACAGATGCCAAAGAACAATTTATTTTAAGTGTTCAGCTCTCTTTGTCCCCTTCTGACACACCAGAACAGGGAGTTGAAGACTCTTTCGAACATCTCTGAGTGTGTTAAGCTTTTTGGGGGGAAAGTTACAATTGATGTTTATCAGCAGTAGTGTTGAGTAGCACAGTCAGAGTAAGTGTGGATTTATTGTTTTGAGTCAAACTAATGGGGGGGTGGGGGTGTCTCCTTCAGACACAGGCGTCTGGCTTTGCTGAAGCAAGTGAGTATCCGAGAGAACTGCTGCACACTTTGCTGTGATGAGGTAGCAGACACAGAACTCAGGCCGTGTGGACACAGGTAAAACATTAAAAACAAACCAAACCCAAAGAAACAGGAAAAATGTGTGTTTGACATTCAGCTTAGGTGAAATCAGATGCAGTCCCTCCTTATCTTGATTGACTTCCAAGAGTAAAGGAAATAACCCCTTTTCTTCCAGATGTGACGGGGGTTAAGCATAGCATCCCCACTATTTCCCTCACTGTACACCTGAGATACAATCCCTAATTACATGTGTCTGGGGGCAGGGAAGTACTGCAGCAATGTACGTATGCTACCCCTGAGCTACTGAGTCTTTATTCCCTGATATCAAAGGTTTATTTAGAAACCTAGAATGGCTTGGGTTTGAAGGGACCTTAAAGCTCATCTGCTTCCAGCCCCCCTGCCATGGACAGGGACACCGTCCACTAGATCAGTGCCTGCTTAGTACGTGTGTAGTACTGGTGCTGTGAAATCCGGATCACATGAGGAGAGCAAAAAATTCATTATATGCCCAAATACTCATTAAATGTTCAACAAGTGGATTGTTTCAAGTAACAAATTTCTCTTAAGACATAAAAATGGGACAGCAGTGTGAGTAATATGATAATAGCATTTTCCTGCCTTTAAGGAGCCTACTACGAAATTAATTTAGCTAAGTCCAGTTCCTTAGTGTTTTTAGAGCACTTGCGGATGGAAGCAGTCTTGCCGTGCATCTGGATGCTGGAAAGTTAAAATGAGGCGTGCCCTGTGCGTGTCCACAAGAAGTGGCAACAAGCCCCAGCAGGGCACTGGGACCACACTCCAGATCCAATGTCCAGATGAACAAAGTGTAATCCCAACCAATGGCACTGGATCTTTAAGATGCTGAGCAACAGGAGCACCACTCAAAGTCTGTAGATCCACAGCACCTGACTTGCAATTCCTAATCTCCATTCTGAAAGACTTGAGTGTGTTTTTAGGAGGCTAACTGAACTGCTTAGTGCTTGGGTTTTGTCTTGTTTTGTTGAGTTTTTCACACTGTAAATGCAGGCTTTAACTGATTTTTCTTCTGCAGTGACCTGTGTATGGAGTGTGCCTTGCAGCTGGAGACCTGCCCTTTGTGTCGACAGGAGATACAAACCCGAGTCAGACAGATCTCTCATATATCATGACACATGTGGAGAAATACCACAGACTTGTTTTCAATTAACTCAAACCAATGCTGAAAGGGGAAAGAATCTCTGACCGATCTTTACATGCATAAAACCATAGCCACAGCCAGATTTCATGCTAACCTGTTATCTGTTAATCTTAAAAATGAAATCTTTAATATTTCAAATTGCCAGCAGTGGGAACTGATTTCAAGAATAAGGAGAGCTGGTAGCTCAGTGTGCTATGGCTGTTGGTTCCTCCAAGCAAGACCATAGGAGGGTGTCTCTCTTCTTCCCCCTTTCCTTCTTGCCTGTCAAAAGTGCTGGAAAAATTTGCACTGGAAGTACATATACAATGCATTTTAGAAAAGAAGAGCAAATAATTATCTCCTAAACCAGGGCTGTTCTGTCTTGTGCTCGAAAGTCTCTTATTTTTGGCAGAAATCAGTACTAAAAAGAGAATGCCAGTGTTTTCCTGATCAATGTAGCCTCCTACTGGTCAGAGACTGTATTTTCCGACAGTGGATATTAAACTGCTCAGACTTAATCCGTACACAGTGATTTGAAAAGACAGTGTGGAGACCAGAGAGAAACTCACATTTTAATAACCTGGTGATTCCAAAGAATGTTCTAATTTGTCTTTAAACGTTAAAAGATCGTTGGTATTTTCGGGTTTATGATGCTTTTAACTTCAGTACCCACATTTTTTTGTAAGGATATAATTTTCAGGAGGTATTACTAACTAATTGTAACATTGGACTGGAATTAATTTGATATTCTGGGTATTTTTTAAGATATCGTCAAACATCTTTTTTTAATGTTGGTTTATAAAGTTATATTCACTTTGGAAATATTGAGCTATCTTAAAAGATTAGAGGAGAATTTGGGGCCAGTTTATTTTAAAAAATGTTATTTGGACAGGAAGTTGGGTCTTACTCTGCAACTCTTTAAAAATGCACCTTGCTTGCCATATGTCAGCCCTGCTCTGAGCACGTTTGGGGCCACACTTCATGTTTTGCTAGGGATCACCTGCTGGGAATCTGCTCCAGTTCAGTTACACACTTGTGATGTTTGTATGTTAAGAATTCATTTCAGCAGGCAGCTCTTAAGTGTTTTACTAGGTTCCTAGAAGGAACTGGGGTTCACAGCTGGTGTGAGTGAAGTAGCACAAAACCTGGTGGAGTTACACTTCTTGGCAGTGATTCAACAGCAAAGTATGTGGCAGTGAATTCTCATACTGCGATGTATCTTATCTTTAAAATCATGTATCTTTACTGTCAAGTAGTAACACAGCAGAGCTGAGGCTGCTTCTTCCTCTTGAGCACTTTTGCTTCCTACTAACTTAAATAAGAGCAAAGAGGTCTGCACGCAGGTACCATTCAAGCTCCCTGTTTCACCTGCTGCCTTTGCTAATGCAAGGGTGCTGAATTTTATCCAGAGATACACATGGGGGAGGAGGGGGGGGGGGGGGGAGCGTTTGTTTCTCTTGAACCTCTGGAGTACAATGTGTGAATTAGGACAGTTCTGTCCATCATTTTTCTTGTTGACTTTTTTCCAAATATAGATTGAATCCAAAACTGGAGTGCTGGTTAGTCTTTTTGCTAAAATGAGAATTATCTTCTGCCTAGGAATGCCTGTTTTGATTAGTCAGACTGGCAAATCTGTGCTGCAGGGACCTTATTTCCTTGCTGACTGTACTTTGAAAGGGTTTGCTGTAATCCATAGTGCCGGTCATGGCTTAGTACCTCCCTCCTCACTGCTGAATGTGCAAATGTGAGACCATCACTGCCATGAGGATGTTAGGATTTCAGAACCACTTGAAGTTTTTCAGTGCTTCCAAATGCAATGATAGGTTTTTATACCTAAGGTACGAAGAGACAAACCGTGCTTTAGGGAAGAAGTGGGACAGACCCATTTTGAACTCTGCCTTAATTGATTTTAGGAACTTCAGGGCTTTGGTTTCCCTGGCCAGGATTAACTGAGGTAAATTTTTCAGAAGCACAGAAGTGCCTAGGACTCCACATTCTGATCAACTGCTGTATGACATTAAGCATTTAAGGCCCAGGTCCACAATGGCTTCTAGATGTCTGGTATCCCCTTGAAATGGAGGTGACCGAAGAGCTTTGCTGCCTCTGTGGACACAGGACTAAGTGCCTGCGTTCTTTGTTGGAAAGATGTGAATGCTTTGAAAATTGTGCCCCAGATCGTCTACCGTGTAGCTGGTGCTGGGCAGAGAAAGCCAGTGGAGATGGAGGAGGGAGCTGTGTCCCAGAGAACTGTCCTGTTCATTTCACAAATGGAAAGATTGCACCGCTCGACTGGCTTTCTGCTGGAATTCAGTATGGGAGTGTCTTTGTAAAGCTCAATCCTCCACCACTGCTGCATTCTCTCCCCCTCGGTCCCTGCATTAACCAAAGGCTCTGGGACTGGGAGGGGAGGTGGTGGCTCTAGGTGCTCAGGAAGGGAAATAAATTGTAGTGAAGTCATCCATTCAACAATAAAGTCGTGAAAGCCATTTGCTGTTCTTTAATTCTTTGCTGCTGGTAAGTGCCGGGCTTCTAACTGCTAAGGTGCTGGAGGGTGATGCAGGCAGCTCTTGCACAAGGAGATGGCTCTCAGGCAGAAGGCCGAGGCCCGTGCAGAGCAGGGAAGTGGTGGAGCCCGCGGGGCACAGCCTTCTGCCAGATATACTGAACCCTCGGCTTAAGAGTGCTGCCCTCAGGCCCATGCTTTGTTAAGAGAAAACCCGCTTTAACACTGGCGGGGGAGCTGCGAGCACCATAAGAAAGCACGCTCTCTGCGTGCTTTCGTTTCTAGGGCACTCCCTTGCCGCACGGACACCTCTTAACGCCGCACGGCCGCCATTGACGGGGGCACCGCTTTCCCCAAGTGTGGGTGGGCCCTCCGCGGCCGCCTGCGCTCTTCGATTGGCTGAGGGCGGGGCGGAAGGAAGTGTTTCCGTGGAGACGGCCGGGCTGGGCGATGGCGGTGCTGTGACGGCGGGAGGTGCGGACATGGCTGGGGCCACGGGCCCCACTCGGGGCGGGTGGAAGGTGACGGGGGCCCGGGGAGAGGGGAGCTGACCGGAGCGGGTCATATGGGAGTCGTTTCAAGAGGGAAGGGGAAAGCCCGGCCCCTGGGGCCTCCTTGAGGAACGGTGAGGTAGGCGGGATGCCCCAGGGGGGACGGGGCTGGGGCTGTACTGAAGCGAGGACTGAGAAGGGGGAGGAGAGTGCCGCGCTCTTTCTTCCTCCTGTCCCATGGGGTGATGCCGTAGAGCTGGCTCCCGCCCTCGGCGCTGGGTCACCCAGCGGCGGGGAGGGGGAGAGCAGGGTGTCCCCGCGCCAGCCCGCCGGCGTGCAGTAGTCGTGGGGCGCCGTGTGCCCTGTCCTGCCTGTGTGAGGGGTTAGCGGCTGCTCCCAGCCACGTGCCGAGGGTCTGGCCAGGGCACAGCCCCTCGCTGGCCAGGTCTGGTCTGCGAGCTCCCCAGGACCCACTGGATCAGAGTAGCATCTTACCTGGCTTCATTTCCTTGTGTCTTTAATAGTCATAGGGTCTTCAGGAGAAAATGTGTAAAGGTCACCTGAAACCCCTTTATGGAGTCTAACTGCAGGTGTGTGCAGTTCTGAGCCTGTTCTCTGGGGGACAGAGTTCCTGGAGAACTCGGGTTACTACAGAAAAGAAGTAGCATTAACTGGAAGAACATGCCCTACCTCTAAAATTTCTGCCTCTGCAGTTCTGCTTTTTGGGAAGCATTTGGTAACTTAACAATTGAATTTGTATTAATGACAAGTCATATGTTGTTTCTTAGCGCTTTATCTGAAAAGAAGAAATAACCGGTAACAGCAGCAAGATTGTCTCTCCCCCACCCAGGCTATGCAGGAGCAATGGAGGATTCTGATGAAGAAACCTTTGATGTAGCCATGTGAGTATGCTATGATCTGCGTCAGACTTTAAATAAGCTTATTACTAGTTAAAAACTCTCCATAGGAATATAATTACACAAATGAATTTACACCCCACTGGTTTGCTGATTCTTCCTCTAGAAGAACAAGGGCGCAGAATGTCAAGCTGCAGGAGGGAATATCATAGTTCAGAGTTTAGTTGAAGTCAAACTAAAAGTAACTGCAATGGGCATAGCACTAGGTCTTTCTGGCTGAGTGATCAAAATAAGCACTACAAGGCTGAACTGCTTTTTTTTTATGTTCACTTTAAAATTTCTGCCTCCTTTTCAAGAGCATATGTTGTCTTATGTCATAGATTCTAAGAAACTATTCCTCTGTGTTTAAATATGCTCCTTCTAGACATTTGAGACCATTTACAGCTGACCTCTGCTCTGGAGACAAGCTGAGGGATCTGGGTTTATTTGGCCTGTAGAAGAGAAGGCTCCAGAAAGACCTTAGAGCAGTTTCCAGTGCCTACAAGAAACCTGGAGAGGGGCTTTGGAAAAGGGCCTGTAAGGAGAGGACAAGGGGGAATGACTTTAACCTGACAGAGGGGAGATTGAGATGAGATGTTCTTCCCTGTGAGGGTGCTGAGGCGCTGGCACAGGTTGCCCAGAGAAGCTGTGGCTGCCCCATCCCTGGCAGTGGATGAAGCTTGGAGCAACCTGGTCTAGTGGAAGGTGTCCCTGGCTGTGGCAGAGGTTGGAACTGGATGAGCTTTAAGGTGCCTTCCAACCCAAACCAGTCTGGGATTCTATGACCTGAACCAAGTTTTACACTGATAAAATTTTACACTGCTTTGCCCCACATTTGGCTGACATACTCTTTTCCTGAGGCTTGTGGCAAAAGAGGATGTGTGCTTGTGCCTTGGTCTCTCTAGTTGTTTGTTCTTTCAGTGTACAGACTGTCACAAACGGCCACATGCTGGGGCTGCTGCAACAGCCCAGGTTGTGGTGGCCTAGTTGTACACAGTAAGGCTTAAACCACAAGATTGGTGAGCCTGTGTTTCTTTCGTATGCAGATGCACATGTGTTGTGTAGAGAGATGGAAATGCTGCTTTTTTGAAACAGATAAAACTCCCATTATTTGTCTTACAAGATTTAAATTAATACTTTAAATTTTCTATTGCTGTTAAATTAAGCTCTATAACTAGTAGTAGCTTTCATTTGGAGTAGGGAAAAGAGTGGAAATTACCTGTAGCAAAGTCCTTTTCTTGAATGTAAGCTAGAAGGGATGAGCCCTTTTGCCTGAATCCTTAACTTGATGTTCACGGCACCTCATGTTTCCACTGTTCTGTGCCAGCACCTCTCCTGATGGTGGTGTGCCCCCTCGTGGAAAAAGAGCCTTTTCAGTCTCTTGCCTTGGCTTTGCTCATCTCCCAAGGCTTAACAGATCAGGAATGGTGCTTCACTTGGTAATCAAATGCCTTTTTAAGTCAAATAGAGTTTTGTTTTTCCTGGTCAGAATGAGCCCTATGGCTCATTATAGTTGGTTAAAATGTTATTCAATTAATTTCACTAGAAAAGTAACTGTAATGAGTTTTTTAAAACCTATCCTGAAAGAGTGTTCTGCTCTATTTACCAAAGAGAAATTTGAGAGAGGCTTTTAATTTAATTTAAATGGTGCTTTCACTGATCAAAGCTATTTTTCTTCTTAAAGACAAATGTCCTATGAGTCTTGTTTCCCTCATGTGTGAAAACAAAACCCTGACTTTCATCTCCTGGAGAATATAGGAAGAGTTCATCCCCCACTAAAGGTGAACTGTGAATGCCAAGGAGATCCTGTGAATTATTTACTGTGACTGAACAAGCTGTGCAGTAATAGATTTAGCAGAGGGATCCAGAGTCCTGCAATGCTGGTACCAAAGGTTTCTTCCCTGGATTACTTCAGATCCATAATGAGGTTTAGTTTTTAAATTTACTCACTACAGAATGAGCATAGGAGATTAGGCCATTTACTTGTAGTGTGTAGAGATGTTTCTTGCATAAGAAGAATATTTAAATTGCTTCTGTTGTGTGGTATTTCTGTATCTATTGAATTTAAGTGCTTCCACAAGATCAAGTATTTCAAAATATTCTCTAGAATGTCTAGACTTCTGTGATCACTTTGCAGAGTTTACACATCGAAGTCAGCAGAAGGAAAGCTTGTGGTAGCAGCTGGGAAACACTGGGCTGGAAAACACTTAATTTCTTTTCTTCTAATTTCACTCTTTACATGCTTCTGCACCAGAACTGGAATTACCTTGGTAGTAATGCCAGTGAAACAACATGGGTTTTTTTTTTCAATTAGGCACCTTACTGGGTGAAATAGAGTAGAGGCCTGATGAGAGTCCTATGAAGCAGTCTTATCGTCAGTGCTGTGGATTATTTTGTAGGTTGAAACCAGGGAATTATTCAGTAATTTTTTAATTGCTACTGAAGTAGTTTTTAATTATAACTTTTAAACTTTTATTTCTGCTGTGCTAGAAATACAGCTTTATGCAGTATGGTCTTTCTTTGCTTTCAGCTCTTCCTTCTCTGATGCAGAGTTTGATGCAATTGTTGGGAATCTGGAGGATATCATAATGGGTAAGCTCTGCAAGTACTTGTAGACAACAAGATGCATGCTTCACATATTGCAAGCTGCTCTTCTGTTAGGAGACATACAGAACTAAAATAGCCCCTGCCTGCTTCATGGGAGTTTTTCTTCCTTTGTTCCCATGATCCCTAACTTGGTAGAATAGGAAAAATATACGCAAAATTCTTTTGTGTGTTGTTTGCACAACAGTGCACTTATTAATCTTGAAAGTTATTCTCTGTACAACTACAATATGTTGCTTCTTAAATAAGCAGTAAAGATAGTTGTAAATCTCACATAGAAAACAAGGCTGCCAGGGATTTTTATACGCTCTTCTAAAGGGGATGGCAGAGGCTGAGATGCAATGTTCCCTTCCTCAGCTCTTCCCAAACCTCTCCTACCTTGTTTGTTGGGATAGTCTTAAAAGCTGCAACAGTTTGTCCAGACAATTTGCTGTCATGCCTAGCTGTTGCTGCTGTAATCTGGAATATAAAGTGCCTGCCCTGCAGTTTTAACATGTTCCATGTTCTGTCTCTGCTGAACGTTGGGAACAGTTTATTTTCTCTGTTTCTGCAGCACCCCTGCATAGCTGGAGATGGGTGTCATCACATCTTGTCACTTTCCTCTTTTTGAGACTGTTCTTCCAAGTTGATTGTGTTGCCTGTAACATATGCATGCATACAGTCGTAAGGTGGCAGGAGCTGTTCACAGCAGGAACATGGAATGGTGTCAATCTCATCATGTTAGCTTAGGCAGTTTTAGGTGCTAAATTCTCAGAACCGTCATGTTACCTGAGAAGTCAGTCTGCATGGAGGTACAAGATACCAAGACACAATTTGTGCCAGTCAGCCACCAGCTGTTTTATGAGAATAGCACATTAGCTTTCCGACCACATCCTTTCCAGAGAGAGGTAGATTCTGCAGCCTCAATTGCCTAGTGATGTGATTGAACCTGGAGAAATGCTAACAAACTGACTTTGAATATGCTAAGGTTTAGCAAGCTGAGACTGCTGTGTTTTAACACTGTGTTAAAGCAGTAAGCTCACTGCCCTGGACTTCAAGAGAGCAGACTTTGGCCTCTTCAGGAACCTGCTTAGTAAGATTCCATGGGAAACAGTCCTAGAGGGCAGAGAGGCCCAAGACTGCTGGTTGATACTCAAGGATCACCTGCTACAAGCTCAGGAGCATTGCATCCTGACTAGAAGGAAATGCAGCAGGAGGGCCAGGAGACCTCCATGGATGCATAAGGAGCTGCTGAAGAAACATAGAGGGGAATAAAGAAACTTATGAAAGGTGGAATCAAGGACAGGCGGCCTGGGAGGAATACAGGGACATTGTCTGGGAAGCTGGGGACCAGGTTAGGAAACCGAAGGCCCAGTTAGAATTAAATCTGGCAAGACTGTGAAAGATAACAGGCTTCTGTAGGTATGTAGCAAATAAAAGACAGGCTAGGGACAACGCAGGCCCCCTCCAGAAGCAATCAGCAGAACTGGCTACCCTGGATTTGGAGGATGCTGAGGTTCTGAATGACTTCTTTGCCTCAGTCTTCACTGGCAAATGCTCTGACCATACCACCCAAGTCTTGGAAGGCAGATGCAGGGACTGTGAGAATGAAGACCTTAGGCGCACTGTAGGAGAGAATCAGGTTCAAGATCATCTGAAGAACCTGGATGTACACAAGTGCCTGGGACCTGATGAAATCCATCCGCAGGTCCTAAAGGAGCTGGCAAATGAAGTTGCTAAGCCACTGTCCATCATATTTGAAAAATCATGGCAGTCAGGTGAAGTTCCCAACAACTGGAAAAAGGGAAATATAACCCCATTTTCAACAAGGGGAAAATGGATGACCAAGGGAATTACAGATCAGTCAGTCTCACCTCTGTGCCTGGCAAAATCTTGGAGCAGATTCTCCTGAAAGGCATGCTAAGGCACATGAAAAACAACAAGGTGCTTGGTGACAGCCAGCATGGCTTCACTGAGGGGAAATCCTGCCTGACCAATTTGGTGGCCTACTATGGTGGGGCTATGGAACTGATGGACAGGGGTAGAGCAGTTGATGTCATCTACCAGGACTTGTGCAGAGTGTTTGGTACTGTCCTGCACGACATCCTTGTCTCTGAACTGGAGAGACATCGATTTGATGGATGGACCACTGGGTGGATAAAGAACTGGCTGGGTGGCTGCATGCAGAGTTGTGGTCAGCGGCTCAGTGTCTGGCTGGAGACCAGTTATGATTGGTGTCTCTCAGGGATCGGTGTTGGGACAGATCTTGTTCAACATCTTTTTTGATGACATGGACAGTGGGATTGAGTGTGCCCTCAGCAAGTTTGCCGATGACACCAAGCTGTGTGGTTCGGTTGATACCGTGGAGGGAAGGAATGCCATCCAGAGGGACCTTGACACGCTTGTGAGGTGGGCTGATCCACCCTTACGAGGTTTAACCATGACAAATGCAAGGTCCTACACCTGGGTCAGAGCAACCCCAGGCACAGCTACAGGTTGGGCAGAGAAGAGATTCAGAGCAGCCCTGCAGAGAAGGACTTGGGGGTGTTGGTCAATGAGAAAATGAACATGAGCCAGCTTCAGTGTGCACTCACAGCCCAGAAAGCCAACTGCATCCTGGGCTGCATCAAAAGGAGCATGACCAGCAGGTCGAAGGAGGTGATCCTGCCCCTCTACTCTGCTCTTGTGAGACCTCACCTGGAGTATTACGTACAGTTCTGGTGTCCTCAACATAAAAAGGACATGGAGCAAGTTCAGAGGAGGGCCACGAGGATGATCAGGGGACTGGAGCACCTCCTGTATGAAGATAGGCTTAGAAAGTTGGGGCTGTTCAGCCTGGAGAAGAGAAGGCTGCGTGGAGACCTCATAGCAGCCTTCCAGTATCCAAAGGGGGCCTGTAAGGGTGCTAGGGAGGGACTCTTCATCAGGGACTGTAGCGACAGGACAAGGGGTAATGGGTTTAAACTTAATCAGGGGATGTTCAGGTTAGATATAAGGAGGAAATTCTTTACTGTGAGTGTGGTGAGACACTGGAATGGGTTGCCCAAAGAAGTTGTGAATGCTCCATCCCTGGCAGTATTCAGGGCCAGGGTGGATGCCATTGAGTGGCATGGTTTAGTGTGAGGTGTCCTTTCCCATGGCAGGGGGGTTGGAACTAGATTATCTTAAGGTCCTTTCTAACCCTAACCGTTGTATGATTCTGTAAGTAAACTTTACACTTATATCTGTTCTATTGAATTTGGTGGTCACCTACAACATTAATTTTTATTCTTGCTTCCTTCTACAACTGGAAGAGAATTCCCTAGCAATCAAAAATGAATCTGGGAATTCCATAAATATTTTTAATTCAAGAAAAAAAGAATTTTGAGATCTTGTAGTGAAGAATTTTAGTAATTTTATTAAAAAATACATATGTTTTGCTGACTTGAGCACCTGAACAAGAAGGTGTTTAGAATAAATAACCTTATTAATGAAGCATAGAGTAGGAGCACATCTTTGCTAATACTAAATGTAAGTGAAACTTCTGAGAAGTAATTATAGACCTTGTTAGGTGGATGTGTTGGTCCCATTCCATTCTGAATGCTGTCAGAACACAGATGTGCTGCTGTCCTGTTGACGCCGCTCTCTAGCTGGAGCAGCGCTGCTCTCCACCAGCAGTCTCGTGTCTTCTCACAGATGGGTCAGCAGTGGTGGCTCAGTAGCAGCTGTAGGACTGGTGTGCCGGACCCCGCACGTGTGCTGGGCTCTGTGGGTACAACAAGGGAGCAGAGGACTAGTGAATATGGGGTTTGTGTTCAGAAAGAATGACTGAACTAACTGTGTGATGCATTTTTGTTGTGGCCCAGATGACGATTTCCAGCTAATGCAGAGGACTTTTATGGAGAAGCACTACCAGGCATTTGATGACTCAGAAGAAAATAAGCTCATCTATACTTGTATTTTTAATGAATATGTAAGATACTATTTTCCTATTTTTTGCATGTATTATTTTTTACTTTTCTTGAGGCCAGTGTCAGTTCCTGTATTTCCCTCTTTATGAACTACTGGTTTTATATGGAGCAGAGCCAACATGCTGCCTGCTGTCTCCTTCTGACACAGTCATGATCTACGAGCAATATGTTTTCTGGAGGCCTGGTTCCTTGCCCTTTTTTTCACCTGAAAATTTCTATAGATGTTTTAGAAGTCGTATAACTCTCCTAAATAGAAATCTAGCCTGTTGCTGTAGTATGTACTGTGTGCATAACAAAGTTTGTTCTTTTCCAGTAGCAGTATTTCATGTACTGGACACTTCAGTTGCATTCTTCATGCCAAGCATAATTATGAAATTATAGCAGCCTACTATTCAGTACTATCCAATGAGTTAAAAATAATTTGTTGCTGGTACATATAGCATTTGTTGTCAGCAATATTACCAGAAAAAATGTTCAGCTCTGCCTCGGTGGTGGTCTAGCAATTCCCAGCCAAGGAATCTCCAGTTGTTTGCCCAGTGAGGATAATACAAAGTGCCAGTAAGGTGTCATTGTAAGGAAGATGTGCTGTTTTGGAATCTGCTCCTGAAATTTGTTATGTGATGTTATAGGGGTGGTTTGTTTGGTTTTTTTTTAGATCCGTTTAGTAGAGAAATACATTGAAGAAAAGTTGCTTGAACGGATTCCTGGTTTCAATATGACTGCTTTCATAATGTCACTGCAGTAAGTGTCTGCTTTGTTTTTGATTTGGGGATGATTTATGAGACTCTTAATTCTTTTTATCTACATTAAAGCTGTGGTTTCAAAGTTCTCCCTTTAGAAAGAGGTTCGTCATGAATTAAAAAAACAAGTATTCATGCAGGCAATGACTGACCACTTTTCTTGCCTTTAGCATGTCCTGCTACTCTGAATCTCTGAACTGTCATGCTGAAATATATCAGATTTTAAGGGGTAGGAAGAGAAATCAGAATGAGAACACTGGAGGCTTTTCATAATCACTGTCACTTTGAAGACAGGCCTTGAAAGGTTCCCTCTTGTTTATCACAGCTATAGTGTGGGACACTTAAATAGCCTGGTAGTCTTTTAAGAGGCTTGTGCTGAAATGCTTTTACTGAAATATTTCTTGTACAAAATATGCAGAGAAGACTTTGGTTTTTCTTAATCATTGCATTTGGTCACTTCAGTTTAACCAGCTTCATGAAGAGATCACTTCTGTAAGACCACTGGTTTTCCCCTTGAATAAGAGAATCAAATGTAGGTGAGAACTGAATATCTTAAAATATTAGATTCTTTTTTCTTGTAATAGGACATTAAGAAATTACTATGAACTCACTTAGACTGTTTAAGTTAAAGCTCCTTTTAAAGAAATTAATTAAATTTAATAAAATATAAAAAAAAAAACCCACAACAATAAAACAATAAAAAAAAACAGCCTTAAACTATTAAGAAAGTCTTGTTGAAATATTTACAAGGGCCTGTAGGGACAGGACAAGGGGCCGTGGCTTTAACCTGGCAGACGGGAGATTAAGATGAGCTCTTAGGCAGAAGTTCTTCCCTGTGAGGGTGCTGAGGCCCTGGCACAGGTTACCCAGAGAAGCTGTGGCTGCCCCATCCCTGGCAGTGTTCAAGGCCAGGTTGGATGGGGCTTGGAGCAACTGAATGAGCTTTAAGGTCCCTTCCAACACAAACCAGTCTGGGATTCTGTGACAAGCTGAGAAGGGAGCACAAGAGCTTTCTTCCAAATGTTTTCATCAGAAGTCCTCTACCAAGTAGCATCAACACAGTCCCTCACTCTTAAGGGATGTGTATGATTCTATGCCTCTCCCCAACCTTTCCCACAGCTAAGGTGCTGTCTGGCAGGTTCAGGGCTAGGTAAAGGCTAGTTGAGTGTTACTTCCGTTGACTTACAGGTCAGTTTCTTTGTCTGGATTTCAGGGACTGATGTGAAACAGTTATGTCTTGGATTTAGATAAATGTAATGTATTAATGTACTTGGATGTGAAATACTGCAAGATAATATTTGGCTAAAGTTTTGCTTTATTTTAGACATTCTTGTTTAAATTTTGATATTGTCTACTCTTCCCAGTATCCCCTTTTACCCTCAAGCCATTTTAAAATAACTATCTCTCACACAATTTTCTAATTCCCCAAATTCTTCTCTCTATAGACAGCACAAAGATGAAATTGCAGGTGACATATTCGATATGCTTCTCACATTTATTGACTTTCTGGCTTTCAAAGAAATGTTTCTGGATTACAGAGCTGTAAGTATGTCACATTGTTTATTTTCACTGGTATAATGGCTGTTGGTTTTGTGTAGCTCTGTCTGAGAGTACCGAAGGTCATGTTACTATAGTAGGCAGCAGCATTTATTCAAAGGCTGTATCAGGGTCAAAAGGAAAAGAACTTCACTGAGTGGCTGTTTAAACACAAACCGCACTTTTAATGATTTCTAGAAAACATGAACGAAGCTGGTATGTGGAGCAGTTCTTCAGAAACACATTCTTTGTACATCTTTGAACATTGATTTCCAACTGAATTTCAGGAGACACTTTCTCACTGTGAGGGTGACCGAGCACTGACAGAGGTTGCCCAGGGAGACTGTGGAGTCTCCATTCTTGGAGATACTCAAAAGCAGTTTGGACATGGTCCTGCGTGGCCCTGCTTGAGCAGAGGGTTTGGACCAGGTGACCTCAAGAGCTCCCACCTTGACCATCCATACTTTTTTCTCTTCTTCCCACTCCCCACTCATCCAAACTTAGTTTTTTAAGCTTATTCCATTTGTATTTCTCTTCCTTTCTGTCCAGGCTGGAGAAACAAACAAAACAAAAGTATTAAGATTTTGGGATAAGCTTTTTCCTAGGGAAATGCAATACATGTAAAGGCTCTCCAGTCACACTACATGTCAAGCCACATTTGACAAAGGAGCAAAAGAGTCAAAGTTGCTGTCAGTTAAGCCTTCTGACGCCTCCTGCACCCCTTAAAGTGTCATGAAAATGAGGGCAGGTTGAGGAGGAAGAGGTAGTCCATGTCTCAGCAGCAGGTGTAGCTTCAGCTGGGGTTTGCACCTTTGAGGTCTCCTGAGAGGCAGACCACAGAAGCAAGATCTCCCTTGTTCCCTGAGTGCTGCCTGAGTGTTCTTGACTGATGTGAGCAAGAATCTGCTCTGCCCTGGCCAGCAGAGCAACAGTGACCTTGCTCCAGGGCTTCCTGCAGAACCTCTTCTTGAAGTTTGGATTCACATTCAATCTCAGATGCTCAGGTAATGTGTAATTTTATACTGATTTGGTGCAGCCAACAGAGTGTGTATTGCCCATTTTAGTTTTTGCACTGCTTATTCCAAAACAGCACTGAGTCACAGATTTCTTTTTCTCCCATGTTTCTAGGAAAAGGAAGGCCGAAGTGTGGATTTAAGCAGTGGGCTAGTGGTGACTTCACTAAACAAATCATCAATGTCCTCCTCCTAGAACAGTTTATGCAAGACTTTGCTTCTGCAGATGAAGAATCCTGGAACTTTAAAGGAATCCTGTTGACATATTTTGTAATTGTAGAGCTAAAGTAATGGTTTGCAGCTAAAATTGAAAATATCCTGTCATTGTTTTTATTGAAGTACATTTTCATTCTTTTTCTGTTGCAGTTGTTTCAATTAATTACTTCAGTCAATGGCAGTGTGAGTAAGTACCTCGGCAGTTACATTCTGTTAGGAGTTCTGCTGTATTTTAAACAAGGCCTCTTCTTAATTCAGAGGACACAAGGCATGGCTGGGGGTGAATTCTTTTGATGGGGAATTGTATCTTGGTGATCCCTGCAAGACCTGCCTGCCTCTGTGCTGCTTTCTCCTGTCTGTGTTCCTATGGGCCTCTGTTCCCAGGATAACTCGTCCCTCTGTGACACTCCTGTTACTCATCCCTGTTTCAATGTGCTTTCAATCAGGCAGAGATAATTCGTCCCTCTGTGACACTCCTGTTACTCATCCCCGTTTCAGTGTACTTTCAGTCAGGCAGAGGGGCTTTTTTAAAGAGATTAAATGTCTCTATATATGAACTACCTGTGTGGAAGCCTGGCTTCATGTTTAAGAGTTTTAATGTTGTCATAATAATGCTTGCAAAGGCTAATTTTCTTACTGTTACCAATTTATATATATATATAGTTGTGGAAATGTGACCCTTCATTTCACTCACTGAACACCAAGCAGAGACTGGTGTATCAGGGACTGATGCAGTTTGTCCAGTTCCTTTTCGGTTCACACCTTCCATTAATGCAATTACATTTTCTGAGCCTACCCCTGTTCAGGAGCTGTTAGACTTTCTCCTGTGTGGCACATGCAGTGCATTTTGCAGTGTGGCTCACTGTGCTCCAGCTTTCAGTGTAGCAAGATCTGGAAATAAATTGAACTTGTTCCATCTATTTTTATTAGCCTGTACGAGGAGGGTGTGAAGGGAAGAGCTGCTGTATTTGGCTGGGCATCACTTCTAGTTCTGACAATCACCAGCCCATGTCCCCAGAAAGCGGAAGGTGAATTTGTGATCTGCAGTGCAGGGGAACAGTATGGCTCCGTATTCTCCCAAGCACTGATCTGGGGTATGTTCCCAGAGCAGCTGCATGCATGGTTTTTATATTTGAAGACCACCTGCACCAAGGGGCAAAACTGACTTGCTGGTTCATAGGTGGTCCTGTGAGCTCCAGGCATGTGAGCGGTGGTGAGCCTAGACGAAGGAGTGCATCCAAGCCTTGGCACCTCTTCCACATTTTTGTGGTCTTGTATGCCCACTACATGTGTGTGTGCATGGATGTGAAACAAAGCAAGGTGAACCACACAGGCCTTCCTCCTCCTCCCTTCGGGCTGGGCTATAGGAAGGGGCAGTCCCCTCTTGCACTAACATTCCTGGTGCCCGCTCCATGCTGTGCTGTACCTGCCACCTTCTTACAAGAAAATGTCCTGAGAGACTCCAGTGCTGGATTTAGAGATGTTTTTATTTAAAGATATTTATTATTTAAGTAGATTTTAAAGATTTTTTTTTATTTAGCAGATTTCTTTGTTAAAGATTTATATATAATTTGTGCTTCAAATTGTTAGAAATCAATACAAGAACAGTTCACACTGCTTCCTTTGCTTAGGCTTCATCTTCCAGCTCTGCCACTGTTTATGTACCACATTAATTGTAATCACTTACACTGTATCTGGAACCAGAGCTTGATTTAGTGAATTTTAGTATGGGAATGACCCCTCCATGGAGCTGCTCCAGTGAGGATGAACTCAAAGGACAAGCAGGAGCTTCAGCCTCCAGCAAGTCCATGCTTTCCCAGCAAGGCTGTCGGTGACAGCACCAGTGAGTTTCTGCTATGGGTGCATCAGCAGGAAGCATCATCAGAGACCACAGAGCAGCATCCACGTGACCCGGTACTGACCATCGCTGCTCCAAGAGCAAGACCTGCTGGCATGTGAAGCTCCAAGCCTGGCACAAGCCAGAGTGGCCTGTGGCTGGGCTTTGCTGTCCTCCTTATGCGTGGTCAGTCACTTGGCTGGTGGCTGCATTGCTGCCAAGCCCTTTCCAGGCACGGAAGCTGAAGAAGGTACTTGCTCCATAGGCAACCATGGTGAGGCAGGCGAAGAACTGGAAGAGGAGCAGAGGCCATGGGTGAGTGCAGCGGCTACCTAGCCCTGTGGCCTTCCCCTGCCCACTGCTACTTACAGATGCCGCAGCTCTTCGGTTGTAATCCCACTGCCGCCAGGATGTTGGCTGAACCACAGCCGCGCACGTTATGAAGGCGGTGATGTATAGGACAGTTGCCACAGCGTTGAAGATCATCAGCTGGGGAAAGCAAAGAGGAGGTTGTGAGGTCTGTGTGCTAGGATGAGGGCAAAAGGCTCAGTTTCACGTTCCTCCCTCATCCCCAGGAGAAGCTGAAGAAAAGGGTTCAGCCCCTCATGCTGGGAACAAACCAAGATAACGTCTCATTACATGCACCCTGCACTGTGCTGAGAGATTTCTGGTTGGCATCATGCCTGCAGCAGCAACATGGTGGCTGTAACTTTCTGGATTGATTCAGGCCTCCCTGTTTTGAACATTTTCTAAGCAATCGAGGGGCAGAATGAAACAGTATCATTGTGCAAAGTGCAGGGGGCTTTGTTCCACCAGCCCAGAAGAGAGTGAAGTCCTCGCTCCTCTCTCAGCATCTCCTCAGTATGTTTTTCATTTAGGAACCCCACTCGCTTCCTCTTGGCTACGCACCACGAGGGACCAGGGGACCACGTAGAACTTGAGCTGAAGCTGTAGAAGGTAAGTCATGAAGAAAAGGACTGTTACTATCCAGAAGAAGATGGACACAAACATCACCCAGCTGTAGGCAGCGTGGAGGTAATAAGTCGTGTCAGCGATGAGAGTCCACACCAGTAAGCCCAGCACCTGTGAGGTGAAAGAGGGAAGAGTTCAGGTGATGGTTCCTGCAGAGCATTGCCCAGGAACCCTGGCTCACCTGCACCTCTGGCAGCTGGGTCCCTACAGTCAGCACAGCAGGGCTGGACTGAGGGACAGCTCAGGGCAGGGAGCTCACCTGTGACCCTCCTCGCTCACGGGTGAGCTCATGGTTGGTCCTGCTGCCCCAGGAGCTGCACAGGGATGTCCTGCAAGGCAGGAGGGGTGAAACATGAGCAACCTCAACACCAAAGGCCCCTGCTCCACCAAGAAGTCCCTATGCACAGGGCCAGTCTCTGCAGGGGCTGGCTCAGTGTTAAAGACAGCTCGTGGGCTGGATGAGAGCTGGATGTGTGAGGGCTTAGCCTTGAGCTCTCCCAGGTGCAGGAAACTTCTGGACTTTCTCCCACTGCTTGGTTTAGTCAGGTCTGGTTTGCACCTCCCATGTATGCTGCTCCTGGGGCTCAGCTTTCACTGTTCAACAGGTTTAACTGCATAGCAATTGCAGCATCGTGTGCCTGCAGAGTGATACACAATAAAACCCTGGGTAGGTGAGTCTGTTAGTGCCTTGCAGAGCCATGTTCTCCCCTCCTGGCACAGCTGGTGGGACAGGGAGCAGATCTCTGCCCTTGGCTGGCAGGTATGGAAGAGCCCAGCCCTGTGCTGTGTCCACCCCTGATCTTTGGGCTCTGGAGGAAATGCTGCTCTGCTTTACCCCCAGCTGCCCTCTCCACCATCCCCTTCCCAGGAAGCTGCCTGAAGCAGCAAGTTTGTGTGTACTTTTTTATTTAGAAAGCCTTTAACCCATGATGGAGCAAGCAAAGGATGAGACACCAGCACACAGCAGTGGGCCCTAGAAAGGAAAGGCTGTTGCAAACCAAATGGCACTTTCTGTGATTTCTGCAGTCTCTAACACAGCCTGTGCACTGGGATGCAGAACTAGGGCTCTGGCACCCAGAGGGGTGCTGGTGGGCCCCACTTCACCCTCCTTCATCACCTCCTGGCTGCACCAGAGCAAAGCAGGATTGCTTCACACACACTTCCTGGGGAGATGTGAGGCTCCAGCCCTGCACCCTTCATGTTTCCCAGCACGACCAAACATGCCAGGGAGATGCCCATGGCAACGCTGGGGTAAGATGTGCCATAAACACAGCCACGACGTATTCTGGTTCCCAGCTGGGGTTCGGATCACAGATTCAAAGAATGGTTTGGGTTGGAAGGGACCTTAAAGCTCCTCCAGTTCCAACCACTGCCACGGGAAGGGACACTTTCCCCTAGACCAGGTTGCTCCAAGCCCTGTCCAACCTGGCCTTGAACACTGCCAGGGATGGGGCAGCCACAGCTTCTCTGGGCAACCTGTGCCAGGGCCTCAGCACCCTCACAGGGAAGAACTTCTGCCTAAGAGCTCATCTCAGTCTCCCCTCTGTCAGGTTAAAGCCATTCCCCCTTGTCCTTTCCCTACAGGCCCTTGTCCAAAGCCCCTCTCCAGCTTTCTTGTAGCCCCTTTAGGTACTGGAGCTGCTCTAAGGTTTCCCCAGAGCCCTCTCTTCCAGGCTGAACAAGCCCAGCTCTCTCAGCCTGAGATCTTGCTGGACAGAGCCAGGTGAAGCTGCCAGAACTGCCTGCACAAGCCCACATGGCTTATTGTCAGGGGAGAAACACAAGAGGCTTTGTCCTGCCTCAGGGCACTGCCCTGGTGCTCACTGCTGTGACAATGCTGCCTTGTCTGGCACATCCATTTCTAATGCTTGTGATCACAAAATATGCGCAGGGGAGAAATGTGTAGGAAAAAGTCCAGCTCTGGGAGCAGGAGGTGGCATGTGCAAGGTGCCCTGCCCTGGCTGTAAGGGGGGTGGAAAACATGAGCCTGTACAAATAGGTTCTGGGGAGCAGTGAGGTTCAGCAGATGGGAGCTGGGTAAGCATGTTTAATGGTATGGCCCTAGTAATGGGATCAGGTGTGGGGTTGGAGGGTCCCTTCTGCTAATATTGATTCCATCTCTCTTTCCTGATGCTCCTGCAAGATTCCCCCTGACAGTGTCCTTTCCATGCCCCTCCTTGAGCATTTGTTCTTATGTCACAATCATGCCCATGCCCAGGGTAGAACTCTGGAGCCAGGGAGCCAGCAATATGCCAGCTGCTGTGCATACTCAGTGCCCCAGGGAGAGGGGATGGGTAAGCAGGACCTCAACCACAGCAAGGCAGCTCACACTGGGACCCTTGTGCAACTAAGCACCCACTCCTGTGCACACGGGGCACCCAAAAGTCCCAGGAGGGAGCAGCAATAGAGTTTATTCAGCAGCTGCCTCCAATGCTGAAGCCATGGGAAGGTGACACTGCTGCTGCTCAATTTGAGGGTACAAAGACCCTTCTGCTTTTTTTAGAAAAGCCACCAAAGCCTGACACAGGGGAGGGCAACTGGAGGGCTGGGAGGGCCCAGGAAGGATGAGAACCCTGGGGAACTCCGGGAGCACTCACAGCACCCCACCTCAGTAGGGGCACCGTGCTCCCTAAGGCTTCTGGCCCCTCTGGCTTGTGCCCCGCAAGGATTGCCCACGCAGATCAACCGAGCTGGGTGCTGGGACCTGCCCGGCGTTGAGAGGAGTTCCAATTCGTATAAGAGTAAGGAGCGGAATTTTCCTCTGGCTTTAGAGAGGGAAGGAGGAGAGAGGGGGGCCGCGGTGTCTGAGGATCAGAGATTAATTGGGGTTAGAGAGCGAGCACAGGGCAGAGATGGCAGCCGAAGGAAAACCGGGCAGTATCCACCCAGGGCAACGAAGAAAAGCATCGGCCTCCACGCGCGTGTCGCCGTGCGCGCACCCGCCCCAGTGCCCCGCGGTACTCACGGCCTGTGCGCACATCAGCCCCCCGAGCGGCGAGAGCACGAAGGCGCCGTCCAGGGCTGGCAGGGCGGTGACTCGCGGGAACCCGCTGCGGGACAGCCCTGCCATGCCGCTGGCACTGGCTGCGCGCGGCCCCGGGGCTCCTCCGCCCCTCCCCGGGCGGCGCGCCGTAACACTCCGCGCCGCGCGGCAACCCCTGTGAAGTGGGCTTGCTGGCCCGGGTACATGGCTGGTCTTCTCTGCGCTCCCTTTTGTGGCCTTTCTGTGGCCCAGCGTGTCCCGGTGCCGGGGGCTGTTACTCCTGGCACGTCTCCTCTTTGAATCCCAGACTGGTTTGTGTTGGAAGGGACCTTAAAGCTCACCCAGTTCCAACCCCCTCCACGGGCAGGGACACCTTCCACTAGACCAGGTTGCTCCAAGCCCCGTCCAGCCTGGCCTTGAACACTGCCGGGGATGGGACATCTACTGCTGGTTGTCCCGAAATCACAGTTCTTCAGCCAGTGTGCAGAGAGGTGAGTAACACAGAGATTTGAGATACTGGAGCAGCCCTCTTCTGGAAACAGGCTGAGAGAGCTGGGCTTGCTCTGCCCGGAGAAGGCTCTAGGAGACCTTAGAGCAGCTCCGGTCCCTAAAGGGGCTACAAGAAACCTGGAGAGGGGCTTTGGACAAGGGCCTGTAGGGACAGGACAAGGGGGAATGGCTTTAACCTGACAGAGGGGAGGGAGATTGAGATTAAACCCTGGCACAAGTTGCCCAGAGAAGCTGTGGCTGCTCCATCCTTGGCAGTATTCAAGGTCAGATTGGACGGGGCTTGGAGCAACCTGCTCTAGTGGAAGGTGTCCCTGTCCATGGACGGGGTTGGAATTGGGTGAGCTTTAAAGTCCTTTCCAACCAAACCCGTTCTGTGATTCTATGATATGAGTAGACATACGTGCAGTGTGAAGGCTCCAGTGTTTCCTCACGCTCCTGTCATGCAGCTGATGATGGCCCAGCATGTTATGCTGCCTGACGCTTCGTGTTATCGGGTGGCTGGGCCGTGGGCTGCTCCCGTTCACCCCATCCCCTGCCCCTGCGGCCCCTTCCCCGAGTGGTTCTGCTGGGAGGTGGGAGCCCCCCCATCCACTCTGCCCGGTGCCCCGCGGGTCGTGAGCAGCGGCGGCAGCGGGTTCTATAGTGCGGGGAAGGGGGGAGGCAGCGCACGCCGTTGCTGTCAAGATGGCCGAGCGGTCTAAGGCGCTGCGTTCAGGTCGCAGTCTGCCCTGGTAAGCGTGGGTTCGAATCCCACTTCTGACAATAGGTAACTCTTTTGTGATATGATCTCACGTGTACCTTTAATTACAGTTAATTAGCTAATTCCGTTTAATTGCGGTGAGACATCTTTATGTCCTCCCTTTCAACCAAAACGGTGTCACCAGGCGGTGCAAAACGCAGCTGTCAGAAGTGGGATTCGAACCCACGCCTCCAGGGGAGACTGCGACCTGAACGCAGCGCCTTAGACCGCTCGGCCATCCTGACCGCTCGTTTCAGTCGTCTTAGTGACCTCTGTGTTGTCACTTGCCCGGACTCACCACTCATTCGACTGCGATAGCCTCGGAGTGATCATGGTATGAGCAGGACAGGTGCCCGCGAGACAGCGGGTGTCACCCCCACTGCCACTGGGCCGCCATAGAGTTAGGGGCCGGCCAGCCTCTCACCCACCCCGGGAGTCATAGAATCAGAAAATCGTGTGGATGGGAAGGGACTTTAACGCTCATCCAGTTCCAACTCACTGTCATGGGCAGGGACTCCACTAGAGCCGGTTGCTTCAAGCCCCGCCCAACCTGGCCTTGAACACTGCCGGGGATGGGGCAGCCACAGCTTCTCTGGGCTCACAGCCAGCAGTGTCCCCCGGAGGCTTTGACAGAGGCCAACTCTTCACTATGCAGGCCAGTTGCAGGGATGTCAGTGCTTGGTCTCCACTACAGAAAAACACAAACCCTCTTAGCACCTTTTGGCAGCTTCTGCTGCTTCTCCAAACTATTTAATATTGATCAGAGCAGTTGTGCCTGCGCCATGTTCTATGATGCCAATGCCCCATTCTGCCAACAAGTACATCTGTTAGTCCTCTCCCCATCTATTTATCCCCACCTCACTCTGTGTGTAAGTCCATGATCTCTCTTGAAGGCTGCTGATCTTTAAATGGGAAAAAAAACCCACTCACCCTTCAAATAAATTCCAGCATTTGCTCTGTTCCAGACTGCTCCTTGCTCCAAAGCAAGCACACGGGCTGACAGGGTGATGCTGAATCGGGGTTTGGGTGGTGGGGCAGTGCTTACACGACAGCTTGTTTGGTGCAGCAGTGTTCAGTCCTACCAATTTGGAGGCCACTCTGTACTGACCGGACTGCAGCCTCCTACCCCTTCCTGCCCACGGATACAGCTCAGAAGAGTTGTTTGTATGTGCTGTTGCTATGAAAGAAAGGTGGGAGAGCAGCCAGGGAGGGGAGGAGTGAACGGGGGTCAGAAGGGGAAAAGCCACATAAACAGCCAGCAGAGAAAGCTATTTTTTGAACAGTTCAGACAGCCCATTGTCCTGCGGTGAAAGTCCCAGCAGCCGCGGAGTGGAGATGTTTATCTGCATCCATCCATGTGCTGCATCTCAACAAGCAAAAAATGATACAGCAGCACTGAAATCATCTCCTCCGCATGGCCTCTCGAGGTACAGAATCTGCAGGAGCCTGGTACCTCCATGGACTGGGCTTCTCCCAGGAAGTCCTTTTCCTGCGCCACAGCAGAAGCCTGTCCAGCACTCACGAGAAGGTGTTTGGGAGCGCTGGTCCACCTATACCGGCTCTGAGTTACCAGCACCCACCTAGGGGATCTCCTGTAGTATGGAATCATGTCAACAGGGCAGAGGGGTGTGCTAATTAACTCCAGGGCGGAAGCAGCGATTCTCAGAGTGGATGCTTCAACCGAGTAGGTAATAACCACCGCACGATGGCGTTGTCTGCTGCAGCAAGAGGCAGAGGCCAGTCCAGCTCAGGAAACCCTACGGGGGCCTTCCCGTCCCCACCTCATGGCCCCTGTCACCTTGGGGCTGACAGAGCCAGTAGCTGGGGGCACACTGAATGGGTTTGTCCTTTATCAGCCCTCCGGTGGGTACCCAGGGGAAGCGGCACATCCCGTGCTGATGGGGTCTTTCCTCTCGACGGATGCCTGTCGGTGGCGGCCGGGGTCTCACGAGGGCGTGCTGCACCGCCACCCTGCGCCCCTCCCACAGCCAGCCTTTGCGCCAGCACTCGCCGGTGGTCCCCCATCCCTTCTGTCACAGCTCTGGGGGCCCTCCTCACCTCTGCTTTTTTAGTTCTCCTTTGCTGCCTCCTGAGTTGATAGGAGGAATCATAGCCCAGGGGGGTAATATCCCATATCCTTACCCCCAGCAATCCCTTTTTTAACTATGCCCTGGTAACACCAAAATGCTAATGACAAGCGTCTGTAGCCTGTTTCTTTTAGGAAACAAGACAGCTACACTGACCCTAAAAACACACCTCACAGCTATCAGAACTGGTCAGGAGAGCGAGAGGAGCTTTTGCAGCAGATGGTGGGGTAGGTGTAATGCTGTCACGGTCCCAGAAAGAAAATCAGAGGAAGGTAGAAATGTTGGGACCAAGCTGACTGGTCATCTAAATACACTGGTGAGGGAGCAGGTCACTGGTTGGGTGACAGCTGAAACCCATACTGAGCATGCAGGCTCTGGGCAGAAGCAGAGAAGGAGACACCATGTTCTTACAATGTGGGGTGCAGCAAAGCTGGGGTGGGAAAGGGAAGGGGTCTGGTCACTCCCTGTTCTCTTTGTTGAGCCAGCAAGGCTTGAAAAGGCTCAGGCAGAGAAATGCGTGTTCAGGACTGTTTCCCTGCCCAGCCCAAGCATGTTTATTGTGTTAGTGCTGTAAAGGCTTGTTGGTGTTGGAAGCCCTGTGGGCCCCTGGGGCTGTTCGCTGCTGCTTGTGTGTGTCCCTGGGCACTGGCGGGGAGCTTGGCACATACCCATGGCTGAGGCTTGGCAGAGAGCTCCACCTAAACGAGCTGTGTAACAGCTCTGGTTTGGAGACCTCTGATGTCCCATTTCTACAGGAGACTGGCTGGGATTCGAAAGCTTGCAGGATGGGAGGGCTTAGCTCAGACTTTGAGGTGGAGATGGCCACAGCACAGACACATCTAGTGCATCATAGCACCACATGTGGCAGCTCTTTAAGCCCTTTGGTGCTGGCCCGCAGGTTGCCACTTTCTCCTCCAGAGACACAGTTGGGGGTAAGTCCCAGCAGCAACACTAGAGTTTTCTGTATCTCTCCACCCACCATCATGACTTAATTCACGTCAAACTGTTTCCACACCCACTGTTGGAAGTTCTGTGGAGACAGGAAAAGGTGAGCCTTTCCAAAAAGACAATAAACAGAGCCACTTCTGGTAAGCTTCTTTCTTGGAGACTGGCAGGATTCATGTGCAAACATGTTGGATGGAGAAGTGAGAAGTGGGGATGTGGAGAAGTGATGAAGGTGGTGGCCCACGCATGCTGTTGGATGGCACCAAAGGGCTGTATCTGTGGTAGGCAGGAGCTCCCTCTGTCCCTGAGCAAAGGGCTGGGGTCAGGACCCAGCAATTCCTACCAGGAGAAAGGCCCCTCCAGGACAGGGGATTGCTGGCACAGATGCTTGCTGCTCCTGCTGTCACAGGAAGGGAGGAGGCAGTAACTGGGGCACTTGCCTTGTCCTCTCCTACAGCCAGGCTGGAGGCACTAGCCTGGCCCTTGGCTCTGGCAGAGGTGAAAGAGCAGAGCCATGGCATTTAGCTGCTCCCAGCCTCCTGCCTGTTCCACAATGGCCCTGGTAGGACCCCTTCCCATTATGTGAAGGAGAGGAGACCCTGGGTACCACCCTGGGGTGCGGCACAGCACAGCCACATCAAGGGAAAGCCTGACTGCAGGTCCCACAACAGCCATGGCCTCCTGTGGTGCGTGGAGGTTTCTGTCATGCCCATCCTGACCTCTCCCCTCTCTTCTCCGCAGTGCAGTGATGAGAGATGTCCCTTTCAGGGATCATCTGTCTCTCCTTTATCACACCAGCTCCATGGAAATGGTGCCTTCAGGACCTGCAGTTATGCAAAAGGTTTGTAAGATCAAGATGTCCCTCTGGCTCTGCAGGGACTTGGCAAGACCCAGGGGCCCGCTGTGCTCAGGCAAGCCTGTTCTAGAGGAGCAGAACTCCTTCACCTCATCTGAAAAGCTGCCCTGATTTCTTCTATGTCACCCAGGCACATCTCCCCACAAGAGCCTTGCTTGTTTCCTGTCACAGGGAAGAGTTGCACCCAGTGGCTGCATTGCTCTGTGGGGGACAGATGACTCTTGTCTAGGAAAAGCTTAAGTGTGTTGCAGACTAAGCAGCCCTGTGTTTGTTTCTTTGCACTTAGTATTTTCAACAAAATTAAATCTTGTTTATTGCAGCAGCTGTTGCAAGCCTTGGCAGTCTCCATGGGACAGTTGCAGAATGAGTTATCCTCTGTTCTGTCAGCTCTGGCTGCAGAAGAAAGGCACGAATCCCCACTGCAGCTGTACACCTTTCCATGTGTGTCCCACTGGGATCAGCCATCAGCCTGCAGCTCAGCTGTGGTGCTGCCAGAGGGAAGAGCCCTGTCCCACAGCCTGGCTGGCTCAGGATGCTGACTGGGCTGTGGGCTGCCTCGCTGTGGGAAAACAGAATATCAGCATTTTGCACTGTGTGCTAATGACCAGATTTGCTCTTATTTACAAGGGAAAATCTGTTCAGAGAACTGAGAGCCTGTGTGATGTCATCTGCTGGTTTTGGAAATGTTTTCTAAGTGAGCAGTTTCCCTAAAAACACAAGCCCTGCTATGGTCGATACTTCCCAAGTAAGAGTTGTTCCATCTCCTGTGGAGGCACTGGCTACAGACAGCTCCAGACTGCTTCTCATTTCCTGCCCTTTTCTTGAATGTGGGAAACTCAAAGCTGTGCAGTGCCAAACAGATTTAATGGATCCCATCATTTAATTTCCTCCCGTATAATAGTAATGGCTCAAGAGAACTACATTAAGCACAGGTTGAGAGCATCTACAGCATGGGAGGCCCATGTAGCTCCAAGAAACCATTGCCTGAATGTGTCACTGGTTGCCTTGGCAAGGAGAGGGGAGGTTGTTGGGCTGGTCTGGACTGCTCTGTGCCATACCAACCAGTGCCACGTCATTGGAAAAGCCATTGGGAGTTTCTCCAGATTGAAGCCTGGAAATCTGGTCCTACACATCAAGGACCAACTGACCTCATCTGTAGTCTGTGCACCATTGGTCTCCCATGTCCTGGCTTACAGACTTTGCTGCATATATACTCCTTGAGAGAACTGGAGAAGCCCAGTACTAGCAAGCATGGAAGCTCTGCTACAGGGGTGGTGCTTCAGCTCCCTTGAGTTTAATGCTCTTGGGCTGCAGTAAAAGGGGGATTGTGCAAGAGCAGTGGCTGAGCTGCCACTGGGGAGGGGTGAGGGTAGTGAAAACATGAGCTGCAACAAGGCAGGCTTAGCTGGGGAAAGAAAATCTCATCATATACCCAGAGCTGGAGTCCTGTGTCAGCCTGTCTTCTCAGTAGCATCAAGCCCAGCTGGGTCTTCCCAAAAGCTAAATGTTCCTGCTGCCTCTTTCCAGCAAGCCTCTGGGACAGAGGGCAGCAAAGGGTGCTGTTAATACCTACTGCTGGGGGTGCTGGGCTTCCTTGCTCCACAAAAACTGACTCCTGAGGTCTTGGTTGCCCCTGAACACACCATACAGTGAAAATCTTCATCGTTTCTTTGGATCAGCTCTGGCATCTCTCTTCCAGGTCATACAGCCTCCTAAGATCTCACTGACCTTTTTTTCCAGTCACCATGTGACTTCCAGGAAGATAAACATACTGTAACAAACATTTCCAGCACGGAAACACCCTGGAGGATGCCATGTTCTGGGGCTGTTTCCTTTTTGTCTGGGACGCAGGCCTTATTCTCTTTGTATATCTTTTGCATATTGTCTTTTCAGGGCTAAGTTGCTTCTTGCCTTCAAGAGCAATTCCCCAGCATTAGTCGTATGTTCCTTCCACCTGTGAGGTCTTTGAACAGAATTGAAGAGCTTGCCTGCAAACGGTCCTGGCAAAGCTGCAGTGGGTGGAAAATGCTGGAACTACTACTGGGGAAGATGGGATCTGGCCCTTTGATCTGTGCTATCTATCATTCAGAGCAATAAGCTCTCTGGCTAATGGTTGCCAGTGAACAACCAAAGGTTAGAGCTTCTGAGTGTGCCTTGTGCTGTAAACCAACGTTCAGGCCACCCCAGACCTTATTCTAACTTTCTCCACAGCAGACCAAGACCAAGACCTAAGTAGCAGAACATCCATCCTGATATGAAACTGCCCTTAGAGCAGGGCAGGAACTGGAGCCGGGGAGCCCAGACTCCAGCCTTGACATCGAACTGCCTGGCTTGAGCCACAAAGTGCTTCTGGGGGTGCTGAGGATCAATCCTGGAGCTGTGTTAGGTGGCCCAGGGTCTGCAACTCCAGCAGTAGCAAGTGGCCTGTGCATGGTCCCTCTACCCACACTTGGTAGCATGTGCACAGATTGTAGAATCAGCCTTAAACCCTGGAAAAGACCTTTAAGATCAAGTCCAACCGTTCCCCAACACTACCAAGGCCACCACCGAACCATGTCACTAAGGCCCTCCTCTACACAGTTTGTCAACACTTCCAGGAGTGGTAATTCTACCACTGCCCTGAGCAGCCTGTTCCAATGCCTGAGCGCCCTCCAGGAAAGAAACTGTCCCTAGTCTCCAGTCTAAACCTCCCCTGGTGCAGCTTGAGGCCATTTTTCCCTGTCTTATCCCTTGTTCCTTGGGAGCAGAGACCAGCCACCTCCTGGCTCCGTCCTCCTTTCAGGTAGTTGTAGAGAGTGATAAGGTCCCCCTGAGCCTTCTCTTCTCCAGTCTAAATACCCCCAGTTCCTTCAGATGTAGATTTGCTTATGTTTTTTTCCTTTCCATGTTTCAGATCAGCCTAATGTCCTTCCTCATTCATACTGCAGTTAAAAGTTACATGGGAAAAATCCCAAATCTCTTCCTAGTATCTACTGCTTTTTGTCAGTGCTGTACCACCCCTTCAGAGAGCCTTTGGGTGCTAAGAGTAACCTTAAGAAGCCTTCTTCTCATCCTTCTGTGGAGGAATGGGGTACAGTTGCGAGGAGCTGCCCCAGCTCACAGTCACTGGAAGGATATGACATTCATGGCAGGCTTTCTTCCTCCTCAGTTGTGGTCTGCTTGGTTTCATTTCCTACATTTGCTTAGCACAGCCTGTGTTCCCTGGTTCCCAGTAATTAATTTTTTTCTGAACTTTGTTTCCTGAAAGCCAGATGCCCCTGACTTGCAGGGTTGCAGACTCCATTGCTCAGCTGCTGTGATTCATGTTTATGGACTGCGATTGCTGGTGTCCTTCCCTGCCTGCCCTCATCCACATCACAATATATCATATATCATATATCATATATATGTAATATATATTTTAGATATATATACAGTCCCATACCCACTCTGAATAACTAACTACTTCCTATTCCTACAAACTAAAGCAAAGCCAAATCAAATTGACAGCAGCAATTGCCTGGAAAATTTCTATCGTAACTAAAGAAGCTAAAACCAGCTGAAGCCAAGACAAGCCCAGAGAATCACAGAATCCCAGCCTGATTTGTGTTAGATGGGGCCTTAAAGCTCATCCAGCTTATCCTGCCACGGGCCAGGACACCTTCCGCTAGAGCAGGTTGCTCCAGGTCCCATCCCACCTGGCTGTGTCCTGAGACTGTTCACGGTCAGATCGATACAATACCTATGGTTTATTGAGATGTACAACAAAAATATCTCCTGGGCTACAGCAGGTCCTCTGACTTCGGGGTTTTCAGTGCTGAAAAACCTAAAAGAATTGCAGCGAGCAGATGTGCAGGGGGACAGGGAGGGTGGTATAGGAAGTGGATTGGGAGCAATGGTTCCACTTTTCTGTCAGCTGCAGGCCACATTTTTTGCCCGCTCCCATTGGAGTCAGTTGATGTGCCTCTGTGTCCTGCTCTCAGGAGGAAGATCCAAGGTTTACCTTAGGCCCACACCTCTGCCTGCACTTGGCTTGCCATGACCCAAGGGAGCTGTGCTGAGGTGCTGCTGTCCTCCAGCCTCGTACATATGCCACCTCCAAATCCAGCTGCCAACCTCACTGGGAGCAACTGGAGGTCTCTAAGAGTGTCCTGTAGGAGCTCCCTACCAGGACTGCCATGAGCCCTGGCTGCACAGGAAAAGCAGCTGCATTGAGCTCTTCCTGCCTTAAAACAACACCTGTGGCTTTAGCAAACAGAACACTCACCCTCCCACACTGTATGCACACTTGGAGCCCTTCCATCAGTTTTACCCATCACTGGCAGTAAGCCCTTTGCAGGTGGAGCAGAGCCCATTTCTTCAGGGGAGATGTGAGCATGTGTGGGCCATGCTACCACTTCCAGCATCCAAAACACCAACAGTCTCAGGCAACGCCAGTTCCTGGGTACAAGAGAAAACATCATCTGTGGAAGGGGCCTGAAAAAGTCCCAACAGATGCAGCGTGTTCTGTTCTGGCTGGATCAAACAGGCTATTTCAAGGTCTTAATTTTTATTTTCATTTCCTTGAAATGGGTTTTATCTTCTATTACAATATAAGTAAAGGCTGAAGTTACAGGCTGGAAGTTTCACCAAATGTTCTAAAAATATACCCTATGGAAACCTAGGGGGGTTCAGTGTTTAGGAATAAAATCCTAACTGGAACTGTTGGAATTTCCCCCAGCACAGAAAAGCCCTGTTTCCATCAGCCCTATGAAAACTGTGGGGAAAAAAATATTTCAGAGGCAGCCACACTGTCTCAGATTTGATCTTATCTTCATCTTTCAGCTGTGGGAGTTGGCAGGGAAAATTGCCATGTACTCTGCTGGGATCTGAGATGAAAGAGAGAGTGAAGGTGCAGGATGTGACTGCCGTGTCCGTATGTCTACTGCCGACCTGGCTTCATGCTGCTGCAGGAAGCAACCTGGCCAGCCCAGTTGCTTGGAGATCTGGGTGCCTTGTACTCCTGCTCTCAGCATCAGCAATACCCCAAGGGCTGAGACCGTAATGTATACCCGAAGTCAGGGCTGTAGTGACAAGCGTGCTTCACAGACAGTGTTTTCAGCGAACACGGAGCTGCCTGGGGAGGCCACTGAGTCCCCGCTCACCTCTGGCTTTAGTGATGCTCCCAAGAGGCAGCCTGACTTGGGCTCACCAGTCCCGCTGATGAATTTGTAATCCGGATTAGCACATTCTGCCTCTTTTAGCCTAACGACCTATGCTGCTGTTACAAGATGACCACCAAAAAAGGAAAGGAATGCTTTTGCATCTGAGGCAAAGAATGAGCTTAGTGCACCGGGCAGCTGTGGTTTGGAGGTGGGGAGAGCTTTATAAGCCTGAGGACAGTGGTGCCTCTCCCCAGTGGGAGAGGAGGATGGAGGTGACTCCTGGAAGTCCCTCCATGACTGAATGAGTCATCAAGGAGCTGCGGCTGATTTACATGCCCTAAGGAAAGCCGATGCGAGTGCAGGCGGGGAATTCCAGGAGCTGTCTATCTCTGGAGCAGGCGACATTCCCTCCCCTGTCCCACTCCTCCTTCCAACTCCTGTGTCGTCACCCTGGTATGTGTCTGTGGGAGCTAAGTAACAGTTGAAACTCCCACCTCAAGGCTTCATAATCCTGGAATGAACTGCAGCAACGTGTTGCTCCGAAGGACACAATAAGCAGTCGGGAGCAGGAAATAACTGCCAGTAATCCTTCCCTGCATGCCCTTCCTGCTGCCGACCACGGGAACATGAAGGTTGTTTCTCTCCAGGTCCTGTTTGTGCTGAGGGTCCTATGCCTGGTGGCCCGGGCTGGAGGTGAGCCGCTGCTCTGCGTCCCTGCGGTCTCCCCAGCGGAGCAGCCACGTTCACACGGGTGAGGTGAAGTGCTCGGGGGGGGAGGAGAAGCAGCGCTGGATCAGGCAGTGGGCAGCAGGAGACCTTCGTGGGCTGTGTGAGATGTCATGACAGGATCAGGCTGGGTTTGAAAAGGGGCAGAGGGAGCCTACAGCAGTTATCATGGCAGCAGTGATCTCCAAGCAGCCCATGATGGCTTTTATCACTCCTGAGGGTAGGTGGGAAGAACGTCGGAGGGACTTTCTGATCATCCTCATTAGAAAAGAAGTATAATGCACTTCTTTTCCCCTTTTCCCATGTCCCCAAGGGATATGACATGGGGGTAGACCACAGCCTGTCCAGGGCTGGATGTCTGTCTGCACAGGATGCTGTGCTCCCATCACTGTGAGGCACAGGGGCACTCTGCTCTGGGGTGGGCTGGAGGATGGGGAAGAGGTGGGCACACTACTCCCTAGGCTGGTCTTGGTTTAAGATCTGTGGCACAGATCAGTAATTGCTGCCCCAGGTAGCAATTAAGCAGGGGGCATTGCTTCCAGGCTGTCAGAAAGCTGCTCAGCAGCAAAGGCAAATTTGGACTTTGCCCAGGACATAGGGATGATCTGTTCTCACCAAGAGAAGGGTAAGTGGCAAAAAGCCCTTAGGATATGTGCCCTGCTGCCACCAGACCAGAGACAGACAGGCAGCAAAGGCAGCTAGGGATGGAGCTTCTTCCTCTCCTCATACCTCTGTTCAGGTTCTCCAGATCTGGCATGAGTAAACTGGGCACAGGGACATCAAGCAGCTTACCCGGGCCTTAGAATCCACTGCCTGCTTTGTCACTGCCTAGCTCTGCTGCCCTGTGGCCAAGTGTCCATCTGCTCTGAAGTGATGGAATCAGATGGGCTCTGAATAAAGAAAGGCTGGTGGCACTCCTTGGCTGGGATCTCTTGAGAAACCATGCTGAAAAGCAAGTACCAGTGGCTCCCACGAGTGGTGCTTCTGAGCAGCAGTGGTTCTGGAGGAAAGTCTCTCAGGTCCCAGGTGTCCCTGCGGTCCCTTTGGCAAAGACTGAGATGTAGCCCAGAGAAGCAGGGTTGTGTGCCCCAGGAGGAGGAGGACAGCTAGGGTTGGCTTCATGCTCCCTCTAACACTGCTTTGTCCTTGAAAGGGGCTTTCCAAGCTCCTTGTCTTAGGGAAAAACACACCAGGAATTCCGCTAATTGCAGACCATTTGCATTGGTGCCCATAACTGGAAAATCAGTTAATGGTTATCAGAGGAGAAGGGCCTTTGGAAGCAGTCCCCAGCCACTCCCTGCCATGCACCTCCATCCACAGGGATGGCTCTGCCTCTCTTGTTGCTATGCCTGCTTTGTTGAACAGTGCTTCAGAAAGTGGGGGACACCAGCAGTATGTCCTCTGGCTACAGAGAGTTAATTGGGAAGCTGGTCTCCCCTGAACAGGTATACTTGACCCTACAGTGCCAGAAAACACATTATTGTGTGAACAAATGGCTTTGCTTTAGCATTACAGAGGTTGAAATGTGCTTCTGTAAAAGGGCCATGCGGGATTTGCTTGTGATTTCTTTGCAATGGGTTACCTCAGTAAATGGATCAAAAGAGCTGAGGGTGTTCCTGTTGTGATGTTCATTCTTGCTCCTGATGGCTGGATCATTCCCAAATGAACTGCATCAAATTCACCAAATTCATTTGGGAAACTGAGACAATATTTTGTAGAGACTGGCTGATCTAAACCAGCCTCCAGCTCCTTTCTTCTAAGAGGGGCTAAGATAAATCAGGGCTTTTTTAAGTAAGTCTTGACTCCTGGGATGTCAGAAACAAATTGCCAAGATGCGTTGTGCAACCTTGGCAAATGTGTTGTTAGAGGCTGGGGTAGGAGCAAGAGCAAAGGGTCCCTTGTGCTGTGACTGGCTTTCCCCCTTGAAGGGGTCAAGTGAGGTTTATTTTTACACTTCACAAAATTAAAACCCAATATTCTGGAGGAGATAGAAGAGATGTTTGGTGAGAAACTGCTGTGAAGCTGGGCTGCTGAAATATCTAATGGAGCAATGAAGCAATTCACCAAAATGTTCTTTCTCCGCAGCCTTTCTCTGAGTTCAGGTGGCATTCAGAGATCACATATAAGCAGAGAGGCAGGATGCTCACCTGGAGGGGAACTCCCACCAGAGGAATTGCTATGTCTGATCCAGAGAAGGAGAGGACAGGCCCTCTGGTCTGCATTGCCTGTACCAAGAGCCTGTTGGTGACAGTTTAGCAGGTCTTTTGGGGACGAAGAAATGCGTCTTCTGGGCACTATGCAAGAGCAGTCTTCCTGTGACCCAAAGAGGAGGGGACCTGCAGGACTAGGTCCTTGCACAAAGGTCCTCCAGGCAGTGCTTGTGGATCCTGTAAGGCAAGCTGCAGTGGTGGCCCAAGAGCCCCACAATTTTCACAGTGCTTTTTTTTTGTAGTTTTCTCAGCATTTTATTGCCTGTTTGAGTGATACAGAAACTTGTGGCCCTGATGGGATTTTTCTTCATCTCATTTTAGCAGGGATTGGAAACTTCATGGCAAGCTCTGGACTCCTGCCCAGAGAAGAGAAAAGAGAAACAGTGCCAGTTTTTATAGTAGCAGATAAAAAGCCAGTGTTTAATATGTTGAATACTTTATTTCAGGGCAACCTAAAGCACCTCTGAAGTGTTCAACTGAGTGTGGTGGTTTTGCATCTGGCATAGCAGCAAAGCGGATAAGGAGCTACCGCAGGACTGAGCCCCGCTGCACCAAACAAGCTGTCATGTAAGCACTGCCCCATCACCCAAACCCCGATTCAGCATCACCCTGTCATCCCATGCCCTTGCTTTGGAGCAAGGAGCAGTTGTGAAACCTTATTTGAAGGGTGGGTGGGTTTTTTTCACCTCATTTAAAGATCAGCAGCCTCCAAGTGAGATCATGGGCTCACACACAGAGTGAGGTGGGGATAAAGAGATGGGAAAAGGACTGACAGATGTACTTGTTGGCAGAAGGGGGCATTGGAATCGTAGAATCATAGGCTCACAGATGGCTTTTGGTTGGAAGGGAGCTTAAAGCTCATCCAGTTCCAGCACTTCAAGGGAAGCATGCAGGATGAGAGCTCACTATGAGAGCTTTCTATGAAAGCAGTTGTTTTCTCTGGAGACAGATTAAGACTTGGAGCTTGACTAAGGATGAATAAAGCTTCATTCCCCTTTAGGATAATTGTTGTTTTCAGCTTATCCTGAAACTGAGGCACTATTAAGACCATTTTGTTGAAGCCCAGAAGGTTGCTTCGAAGTGAACCCGCTGGGCTGACCTTGCAAAGTCTCATCTCACTCAGTAAACCAGAGGATTTTGTCTTCACATATGCTTGCCCATGGGCAACTGATGCTTGAGGAGCTTCCTGCCCTGAGCACTGGAGGCAAACACTGCATCCAAACATCAGGACAATGCTTTCAAAGGAGGAAGACTTCTTCTGGGAATCCCTTCACTCATGAGTAATGTTCAGCTGCTCAACATTCAGTCAGATCTCAGAGGCACCTGCTCTTCCTGAAATAAACAATCCATCCAGCCCCCGTGGTGTTTTCTATGGGCTTGAGAGAGACTGTTGCTGTCTGCATGCCTTCCCTGTCACGCTGATCATCTAAACCACTGTTTGCTTTATCCACTAAGTGATCCCTTTTTATTTTCAGATTTGTTACTCTGAAGTCTATAGAGATTTGTGCAGATCCAGAGGCAAAGTGGGTGAAGAAGATTGTAGAGAAACTGGACCAGAAAAAGGCTGAAGCCTCTCTGCTTTCACATGGTGCCACCTCAGCAGCAGCTCCAGAAGAGCCTGGTATTTTCCAGAAACATGTTGGCCTTACAGTAACAGCTCCATCTCAGGCTACTGCCCCCTCTGAAGTCAGTCCAGAATCAAACAGAGATTCCTTAAAATCTCCTGCGCCTTCAACAACTTCTTCAATAGGCATTGTCTCCAGCCAGCCCACCCCATTCCACAAGGCTCTTGTGCATAGTTTTGACAATGCTGTAGGATCTACAGAAGAACCTGTAGGGCATACTGCAAATGCTATGTCTGATGTTCGAGATGTGACTTCTCCTAGCTCAAATTCAGACCCCGTGGCCATTTCTAAAGGATCAGACCACCCTGTACTTCCTACAAATGAATCCCTGGATCCTGCAACTGCAAAAACCAATACACCAGACACTGATTATAGGGGTTCAGATACCCCCTCCATCCTGGACAGCATGCAAACTGCTTCAGTTCCTACTCTAAACTCTACAACTGCCACAGACAAAGGTCCTTCTGTCCATACCAACAAGGTTTTCAGTTCCTCTGTAGGTGCTTTTGGTACCACAACATTTGATTATTCATCGCCTGTAGGAAAGCAAGAGCCTTCAGATATGTTACTTTTCACTAGTCAAGCATTCTTAGGCGAAGCCGGAGTACAGACGACTACAGAAAGGCCAAATGCTCTGCCTCTTCCCACCTTCTTGTCAACATCTCAAATGCATTTTGTCATTCCAGTTTCTGTGGTGTGCAGTCTGATGGTTGGCAGTGTTGCTGCTGTATGGCTGTATCTAAAATTTGGAGTCATAAGAGATGAAATGTCAAGAGAAATGGTTCAGGGCTTGCTTTACGTGCAACAGAGACATCAAAATAATATCTATCCAATGGAAGTAATCTGAATGCTTTATGGCATGGATATTTTTGGCCCAAACCGTGTGTTACTGCAGATAAGTTTATATTGAGCTGGTGACCCGCCGGAAGGAAAGCAGGAAATAAAAATACCAGAGAAAACTGATTTTTTTTTTTTTCTTGCAGAGCAGAATGTAAAAAAAAAAATTAATCTTTGACCAATTTTGGAAATAAATTAGACCCTTTTTCCTTCTGGCACTGCTACATACAAAGGCTATTGCTGTTCTAGAGCTGCATGGTGGCTCTTTGCCAGGTGGTGGGCAGATGTGACTTTCCAAATCACTGTTGGGGATTATGCTGCATTTCATCATGGCCCAGCTGAGAAGATGTTGACTCACGCACGTTGCTGGGCTCAGGCTCAGCCACCTTGGGTAACTTTAACCAAATTAACCAAACCCACACAGCTTGCCCTTAACAAGCCCTCTGCAGCTGTTTTCTTTGCACTTCATTGGCTTCTTGGTCAGACCAAGATTGATGCCTGTGGTCAGCTGGGTGTTGGCTCTCCTTCAGCTAATCAAATAATCCATTTACTCTTGCTGGAGACATGAAGGGTGGCCTAGCTTTTCAGACTGAGGTGATGAAAACTGCATCTGATTTGGGGATTGAAAGTCTGTGCTTCATGTTCAGATTTCATGTTCAGAGGAGCTGGCAACCCACAATGTATCTCCTTGAAATCAGGCCACCTTTCTGGCTAACAGCTATGGGAATTTCTTCTTGTGAATTTAGTCTGAGACCTGTTTCTTGGCAAGTCAACTGCAATAAAACCCTTCTGCCAGCTGATGGGCCATGCCCAGCTTTGTGCAGCACTGGGGCAGGATAATGTGGATGAGCCTTTACAAATGGGGAAAAAACAAGAAGTCACCCAATAATTTTGCTGTTCTTATGATACCATTGGAGGGGCTTTGCTCTTCTCTGCAAGCACAAAAGCCAGGAAGTACACTCTTAGAGCAACTAAGGGCACTTCTGGATTTAGTCACCTAGAATTACACAGCAGATGTATCATCCTTCTGGTCCCATATTCTCTCTAGAAATAAGCATGTTTGCTGTCCACAAGAAAGGACAAAATGTCTTTTCCAGTATGAATTTTGCTGGAGTGTGCAAAGATCTTCACAATATGATGCTTTGTAGATAAGTTATCAAAGGTCAGATCCTCCTTTAACCAACCTCAGTGAATCAGAAGTATAAATATGCATGCAGAAAAAAACACATAGTAAGGAACATAATCAAAGCAAAAAGGACAGGCCAGCCGTAAAGCAGAGCTGGAGGAAGGTGGCCTATTAGATCCATCAGATTGCACCATCAGGGCATCCATCCAGCCCCGGAGGTGGGGAGGATAGACTGCAAAGGTGTTTGTTTTCTGCCATCATTCAATCCCTTATTTCTGTGTTTTGTTGACTTGAGAAAGGGGAGGCAGGGCTTGATCTCAGGCTTTGCAAGTGCAGAACACAATCAAATTAACTGTAATCAGGAATTTGGGGTGACAGCCCAGCTGTGTGACATTGGCTGGGGTTGACTTATCTGGAGGGTCAGTCAGGGGCTGTCAGTGGTCCCTGCCCTACTCCTGCACAGCTGAGCTCTCAGCCTTGCACCTTGTGAGGTCATGTCCTGTGGCATTATTTTTATATGAAGCACATAGAGAAGAAATGTTACTTTTGCAGTGAAGTTTTCTAGTGGCTTGAGTGTATGTAATGTCCTGTCCTTGCTACTGGAGCATTGTGGAATCAAGGCCTTTCTGGGAACACTGGAAAACATTGTGCCTTGTCTATTTTCTTGCTTGGCTTGGATGGCTTGTGCATATCCAAGGGAACTGGGTTGCTCTACAGGCACTACAGCAAATGGAACGGACACTTGTCTTGTCTGGCTACAGATGATGTCCTCAGCTGGAGGCAATGCTGGGAAGATGAATGAGCACCAAGTGATGTGATTGCTTCGATCAGTGTTTGTAAGGACACTATTCTGGTTTCAGCTTCAAGGCTTAAGGTGTCATTTGCTGTACAGTGTGGTGACTGTCAAGCTCTGATTCATTGCTGTATCATGTGTATCTGAGTGTGTGCACAAGATATCTGTTCTATATGTTTTTATAAAAGTAATAAGGTCTTTCTGTTAACTCTTGTCCTCCGGGTGTTCAGCCCAGGGCTGAATTCCCAAGCCTGGTCCCTGCAGAGCTTTAGAGATGCACGTGTGTGATTAAGCACCATAAGAGGTATCCCAGCATCACCAAGAGACAGCAAAGCAGGCACAGCTGATATGGCTGGACTATTGCTGCAGCCTTTTGTTGGACTATTGCTCCAGGCTGTTGCTTAAGGGCTTCAGTCTTGCCAAAAATTTGCAGAGAGTATGTTTTCTCACAGGGAATTGCATTTCCATCCTGCTAAAGCAGAACTGAATAAACAGCCAGGGTTTTGCTTTGTTTAAGCAAAGCTATGGCCAAGCAACAATCCATAGAAATCAAACATTATTCTCCAAGTGTGTTCTGTGAGGGAGTAAAAGCCCACGGGCTGAGCTGGAACCTCTCCCAGCCAGGGCTTGGGCTGCCCTTGTGTGTCCCTCTCTAGTGCTGGGAAGAGAGGTGGGAAAGGCAACACAATACAAGAGTGAATGCCCAGGGACTTGCCACTTTCACTTCTGACACATAGAGCAAGCACCAGCATGGGACCACCGTGGGCTGTGGCTCCTGGGGAGCACTGGAATGTGTGGACGGTCCTTTGTCCAGCTGGAGGCATATGCTCGCCAGCTTTGCTGCTGCTCCCCGGCTTCTCTAAGTCTGGCAGTGCAGAGAAAAGACCCTGTGCACAGGATGTCCAACCATGCACCTTCCCGTGCTCATCGTGGAGGTGCATGGGCTGCCACAGGTGTAGAATTTGGTCCAGGAGATAACTAATGCCAAGTCTGTCATGCTCAGGTGGGATAAGGCTTGTCTTCTGCAGCGACTGTGCCAGACACATGCTTCTGCCTCAAGGTTTCCCCACAGCCCGTGCGAGAGAGGGGGGCCACGGTCATGGCATGCCCCTTCTGGTCCCTTCCTGACCTTCGTTGTTTTACAGGTCCACACTAGTGCAACCCTCTCCACCACTTCATTATCTTGCTGTTTCAGTTGACCTTATGAGAACAAGGTATCACTGGGGCTTCACATAAGCTCACCTCCATGCCTTCACATCCCCACAGGATACATCAGATGGCACAGTGGCAGGCCTTGAGGGCACTAATTGGCCTTAATCACCCTGATAACCTTCACCTGGGGATGAGCACCTCCTCCCTCTGCCCAAACTCCAGGAGCCCCACTTACGCTCAGGCTTGAGTCTCTAATACCTGCTTTGGATTTGTTGTAAAGTGCTCGTCTGATATCCTGGCCCTGCTATTGGATAGACCTTGGACCTGTGCTGTAGGTTACTTGTCTCCTGGCTGGCTAGACTCTTTGGTGCTGTAGTCCTGTCTCTCTTCCCTTCTGTGGCTGGTGAGTGGATGCCCTAAGCCTCCCAAGTAGGTCATGGACCTAGTTTCTCACTTTGGTGTGTCTAGGACCATAGATAGGCCCTGTTACCAGCACCTGCTCTGCCACTGTGCTCAGACCCTGTGGGACCTCACTGGTGAGGACACTGCCTGTGGTGGGGTTATAGAATCACAGAATCCCAGCCTGGTTTGGGTTGGAAGGCACCTTAAATCTTGTCCAGTTCCAGTCCCTGCCACGGACAGGGACACCTTCCACTTGACCAGGTTGCTCCAAGCCCCATCCAAACTGGCCTTGAACACTGCCATGAATGGGGCAGCCACAGCTTCTCTGGGCAACCTGTGCCAGGGCCTCACCACCCTCACAGGGAAGAACTTCTTCCTGAGATCTCATCTCAGTGTCCCCTCTGTCAGGTTAAAGCCATTCCCCCTTGTCCTGTCCCTACAGGCCCTTGTCCAAAGCCCCTCTCCAGGTTTCTTGTAGCCCCTTTAGGCACTGGAGTTGCTCTAAGGTCTCCCCTTAAGGAGCCTTCTCTTCTCCAGGCTGAACCAGCCCAGCTCTCTCAGCCTGTCTCCAGAGCAGAGCTGCTCTGGCCCTTGCAACATCTCTGTGGCTTCCTCTGGACTCACTTGAGTAGGTCCACATCCCTTTTGTGTTGGTCACTTTTGGCTCATGGCTTGTCCCCTCTTACTGCTCCCTGCAGTCTGGACCTCTGCCATTGCCTTCTCCAAGCCCTGACTTGTTTCCAGGGTGATGTGTGAGGGGCACAGTTATTCCTGTGAAGCAGAGATCCAGCAGTCTCCATCCTCTCTGGTTTGAGACTTGCACTGTGATGTATGAAATGTCTGTTCCTGCTTGGCATGGTGGTTTTTCATGTGAAATGTTGCATCAGCATGCTGGTGCTTAGGCCATCTTCCCATCAAGCTAACTGCCACTGCTTTCATGATGCTGGCTTGGCAGAATGCACGATGCCCTCTTAGCTGCTTTGGCTCTCCAATTGCACAGCTGCAGTTCTGCTGTGTAGCTGTGGTTCTTCCATGATCTGGGTTTTCTTAATCTCCACTTTTATGAGGATTGTGTCCCTGTTCACCTCACTGCAAGGGCTGCTCTTGCAGCTGAGCTCCCCCTTGGGTAACCAAGAGAGGCTGTGGGGACTCTCCAGGGTCATACCCCTTCAGTGACCATCTCAGGTGACAGAAGTGAGCAACAAGGCTTCACATCATTGCCTTTGCCTCTAGGAGCTCAAAAAAGGTCAGGGTTGAAAAAAGGAGGCTAAAGTCCTCACCTAACATCCTTGTCTTTGAGTGCTACCTGACACAGAAACCTCTCCAGCACAGTCTCCTTCAGGAGCAGCAGCTCCTCCTGACACCCCAGATCCAACCTTTACTTAACCTCCACTCAGTTGATCAACCTCATTGGAGAAAAAATGGAAAAAAATCTCCTTTTCCAGTGCATTTGAAAAATGCTCAAAAACCAGCATCACAAACTGGTTTTGTTTCCTTAGTGAAGTGGCTGCTTCCCATTCAGGTGTATCCTCCCTCCTGCTTCTCTGCTTGGCTGTTGTGGTGAGGGTTCCCTACCTGGCCATGGTGGATTTCTGCTCTGTCCCCTGTTCTGGTGGGTAAGCTTGCCCAGTAATTTAGTGCAGATAATCCCCTGGGAAAGGGCTTCTGGACATGTGCCTCCTGCAATCTCTGTGTCTTGTGGCACCAGGGAAGATTTACTTACTGCACAGGATGCGGTTTGGATCATCAGCTTCCAGTACTTGCTTGTCCCCAGTGTCCAGCTGTAGGAAGCAGGCTTTGGAAGAGACTTTTGTTTTCCTCTTTTCAAATTGTCTTTCCAGGATGTAGGACATGGCACAGTCCTACCTGGAGTCACGGTGAGCACTGACTCCGGGAAGGAATGAGAGCATTACTTTTGGTTTGTGATTTCATCCTGAGTCAACCAGAGCTTCAAAATGGAGCTGGGGAGACCCTTGAGTGAGCACCATAAAGACTTATGAAGGGGCTTTACACTCAGAAAGCTGAGGTTTAAATAGCAGAAAACCTAGAATGTTTCATATTCTAAATGGAGAAGATTCAAAGTGACTGGGTAAGAAGATAATAGTGAAAAGCTTATTCCTAACCATCCCACTGCCTCCCTGGGGACAGGTTTCAGACACTCGGTGATGCTCAGCCAATACCTCTCCTGCCGTGGCAGCCCAGCTTCCTCTGCAGTGCATTCCTGAGCAGCACAGTGCCAGTGTGGCTGTTGTTGAGCACAGCTGGGTGTGCTCGGTTACTTGCTGAGAGCCTATTTCCAAGCATGAAGCATGTTCTGCCCGGCTCTTTCCTCCCTCCACTGGCACGATTTCTGGCAAAGGCTGCACATGAGGTGCCATCAAGCTTTCCTCCTCTTCCTCCTCTTGCAGGATCAAGAGGACACTGTTTTCTGTTTGGTTTCTTTTTGGGTTGGTTGGTTTGTTTTTAAATGTAAACAAGCAAATTCTCCAGAGCCCAGCCAAATGAAGGCGGATCTTGGCCCAGCAGTGGGGCTTTCCAGCACTCATCAGTTAATGACAGCACATTAGACTTTCCCTTCCCAAAAAGTAAAAGAATAAACATCAGAGGGTCTCCAGGGAATTGTGAATTGTCTGGCTGCAACAGTGATGGTTTGAAGACCTGAGAAATGGGAAGCAGAACATCCCAGGCCGGACCTTCTGCCAGACAAGTAGGCACAACCCTGTAGAAGAAGGCCCCCACTAGTAGTTTTAATTCTCAAGGTCTTCTCCATACAGAGTAGTCTCTTCCCTGATCCTAGCTGCAGGGAGCTCCTGTACTTGTTCAGCCACCAGGGCCGTCCACCCAAAGCACCCTCTGTAAATGGAATGATTGGGTGAAGCCCCAGGCCATGGGGAGACAGGAGACATGCCATGGTCTTGCAGCAGATCCATCCCCAAAATCATTCTGTGTTGATCAGGGTCCAGCCCTCAGGTAGTGGCTTTGTCCCAGGCATGGTTAAGGCAGGCTGTGAGCTCCCTTGGCCTGTGACTGCAGGGGAGCACGCATTCTCCCAGCTTTAGGACATCTGCCATGGGTATGACAGCATCACGCCACCTGCACTTGGTGGCCCTGATCCTGTGCACACCACAGGCAAGAGAAAAATGCATCATGAGGAGCAATATGGCCCATGTCCTCAGCTCAGTGTTGCCAGTTCGGCTGCAGCTGAGAGCACTGTGGTCACCAAAAGGCTATGTGCTGGGATGGTCTTGTGGGATGGGAGGCTGCATTGGTCCCAGGAGCCATGGCCCAGGTCTGGGGAGAGGCTCTTGTAGAGGTACACAAGTCTGCAGGAAAGGAGCCCCAGGCAAAGCAGAGGTGGGAAGGTGGCTGAGAAGGGAAGGAAGCACCCACAAAGTGGGAGAAAGGAAAGATGCTTTTCGGGATCAGCAGGAGGGCATGAGTTTATTACAGCCCAGGGAGACACTGAGTTACTGGGCTGAATGCACACAGGAAGGAGCAGAACTGTCCAGAAATGCTTTGGTTTTAGTCTTCTGGCTGCTACACAGCATAGATGGCCTCATGCTAGCTCCTCCTGGGCTAAGCTATGCTTCTGAGATGAAGAGACTCCATCTCTCCACAGGACTTGAGCAAAAGC